CCAGAAGCTCTCCTCATCGCACTTACAAGGTCAAGCCCGGTCTGTAACTCTCCCGTGATGGCGGAAACAGCGGCTCCGTCGCTGTGACGGCGAAAACAGAAGCTCCGTCGCTTTGACGGCGGAAAAAGAAGCTCCGTCGGTTGGACGGCGGAAACAGAAGCTCCGTCGCTTTGCTGCGTCGCTTTGACGACGGAAACAGAAGCTCCGTCGCTTTGACGGCGGGAACAGAAGCGCCGTCGCTTTGACGGCGGAAACAGAAGCTCCATCGCTTTGACGGCGGAAACAGAAGCTCCGTCGCTTTGACGGCGGAAACAGAAGCTCCGTCGCTTTGACGGCGGAAACAAAGCTTCGTCGCTTTGACGGCGGAAACAGAAGCTCCGTCGCTTTGACGTCGAAAACAGCAGCAAGTCTCTTGGACCCCGGAAACGGTAGCGAAGTTGAGTTGTGAGACGTTTCTAAAGCAGCCGACCTCTTCGACGTTAGGAACACCAGCGACGTCGCTTTGTCAAAGCGGAGGGAGGCTTCCACGGCTAAAGAAACGACGACGTTGGTACTATGGCGGAAACAGCAGAAACGTTGCTCTGATGGTGGAAACAGCGACCACGTTCTCTTGCCGATGTGACGACGCTTGACGGCTTGTCACTCGTCTCAACTGAAAACCATCTGACCTTGGCAAGAAAGCCTTCATAGGTGACATACAATTCCTTCTCCACTTGACATCTCAATAAGCTACTACTTGACACCGACGTAACTACATTCGTCTTGGGTTGGCTTCATACATCTCCGTGATCTATTGCCGGAACATTGACGTCTAATATACTGTAATAAAACCGGAGGGTGCAGGTATGTAAGAGAACTAGTGCGACCCTGGTTAGTGCGACCTGCAGCCCACATAGTGGGACATGGAGCTCAGAGCGGAGATAAGAAAACGGCAGACCGGAAAGATACTGCAACTGGAACTAAGAAAGCGAAGAATGAAGCTCTGGAGAACATTCAGTCGCTGTCGTCGAGAGACGGCGGAACTACCCTGTCTCGTCTCTTCTCGAACTGAGCGGCGGCAGAATGGCTGACTAGTGCGAGCAAAGCAACTTTCAGTTGACGTGAGTGAGGGAAAGGAACCCATGGAGAAGGGGTGAGGTTCGGTTCGGCTGAGGGTGTAAGGGAAGCGGGGATTGGCAGACGGAGGCGGTGGCGATTTCTGTCAGAGAGGGAGTTTGAAAATATTGGAGGGTAGCTGGAGGCTCGGTAAGAGCTCTGGAAAGGCTCGGTGACCAATATAAAAGCACTGTACGAAGTGTGGCGTCAACACGATCAGGAATATATTTACGCGGTAAAACAGCCTAACTTTGTACGTATGTAAACCAAACATGGAAAAATACCACCACTAAAACTTCATCATGAAGAAACGGATGCACATGATGAAATCATGCGATCTCTAAGTCCTTACAGTGTCCTTACATTTGGCTGCTGACAACTGCATGTCAAGAAGGTTCAGTTTCGGGCTCTGTTTCATTCTCCGTGTCTGTGCCTCCCAAGCACGCCAGCTCACTTTCCTCTGCTGAATCACTTTCCAGCCTCAAGAAGGTGGGTGAGGCTGGCCCCCAAATCCGCAACCGCTCAGGCCAGTTTCTAGAAAACAGACGAACACAAACATACAGATGGGAGCAGCACAGCAGCAGTGACGGAGAAAGTGGGGAGATGATTACTTGCTTCACGAAAGCAGTGAAAACACAACATCCAAAATTCGTCCAGGAAAATAACGACATAGTGCATGAGATCAATGTGTTGATGTGAGCAACTTACTGCATGAGTTTCTCCCGCAGCGTGCGCCGCACAGCTGCATTGAAGCCATACGCTATGGAGTTGAAGAGGCCCTGATGGGGGGATACCAGTGCGTGAGCATGGAAGACAAGCATACCGGCATTATAATCAAAACGCAGCAGATACCTACACATACACACGCACACAGATGTCACAGGAGCACAATGAAAGCACATCATGGGCAAAATGTGCAGCTCACCATGAGAGCGGCAGTGCCAATGTGCAGGCAGTAGAGGATGAAGAGAGGGTGTTGGGGCTCCAAGAGGTTGTGAATCTTGTTGATCGTGCCACATGTCCACGATGCGATGAGGATCAGAGGGTAATAGCCCCACCGATTCATGGCCTGTAATACATTGTACATGCACACCAAAAGAGGACGCATGAGCACTCACTGGTGCTGGTGGTGTGACATGATAAATAAGAATTTGCTGCAGCTGCGATGGAGTGTTCAAGAAAACAGTTGTAAGAGGCAGCGAACCAAGGAAACGATGAAGGGTGATGAAGGGAGAAAGTGCAACAGCTTACACTTGAGACTTTGGAGCTGGCTGGACCTTCCATTTGCTTCTGCCTATCTGCCATGTTAGCTGCCATCTGCCGTCAGGATATAAGCACGCACAGTAGTGATATAGAAGACATGTTTGTTTTCCCCCCACGACCGCACCTTCTAAGCCATTGCACACGCAAACAATCAACTGCTGTGCTTGGTGCGATAAAAAAGAGGAAAGGAGTGCCGGCAGCATGATGTTGGGGGCGGGAAAAGGCTACAGGACGGGAAGTGTGCTTGTGTTGTGTTACCCGTGTGGCATTTGATAGCATGCGGATGACTTGGAAGTAAATGACACCGTTGAAAAGAATGGCCGACCATAAAGGCACGTAGAAGGTCAGGAAGCGCAGCACCTGCATGCACGCCAGGGCCCGGCCAGCAATGTAGAATGAATATGTAGGGATGGCGGATGGGGGATGGGTTGAGTATGGGTGGAATATGGGTCCCGGGACGTTTTTCAATGGGTGGTGGAGAGGTGTGGGTCATGGATAAGGGATGGGCGATGGTGGGCGTAAGACATGTGAAGGTAGCATGGGAAGTGGAAAGAATGGTGGTGCAAAGAGGAGGAGGTCAAAAGGCACACAGACAAGGGAGGGGTGTAACAAAAATGGAAGAAAACGCACTAATCCTCCAATTCAGCAAGCAGGTTGCCCCGTACTCTCCTCCCCTCCTCCAACCCTCACTCCGTTCCTCTTATCCACCCCCATCAGCACTCACTCCAACCCCATCCTCCCCCTGGCTCACCTTCCCCATGACTGTCTCATTCTGAACCCAGCACCAGGCCCCTGCAGGGCCATAGTCGCTGCCCAGGGACGGAATGAGCGTCATGAGCGCGGCAGTGCCCCACACATACACGTGGAAGTAGGGCCCCAGGCCCTCCACGTCCGCCTTGTGCCTCACGACGGTGCGGTGGAGGGTGTATGCTATGGTGGTGGTCCACAGGAATGACGCCACCCAGAAGAACTGCGTTGCGTAGCCCTGCATGTAGCACAGCGCGCCCTCGCCCGGGTTGCTGCGCGGTGGGAGGGAGCGGGGCGTGGTGGGAGGGAGTGGGCCGCGGTGTGATGGGTGGGGGAGTTTCGGGGCATAATTTTAGAGGATTTGGAGTAAAATTCGGGAGATTTGAGCGGTGATAGTGCCGCGGAGAAAATATTGAGGAACCTAAGGGGAGTTTGTCGATTTTGTTTGGAATGCCTTACCCGAGTAGGTTGAAGAGGCTGCAGAGCATGTCCTGGGGGAGGGAGGGAAGGGGTGTGGGATGGCACACAGGCGTGGTTGAGGTTGGTGGTTGATTACGCCGATTACGATTGGAGAGAAATGGTGATTATGATGATGATGCAGAATGACACTGATAGCGATGACGGTGTGTGATGTGTTGTGATAATTGTGATTGTAACCAGTCACTTCCCAGCTTTACCCTCTTCTGCTCGCTTTCAGCTCTCACTCCTCCTCCCGCTTCTCAAATCGTGGTTATTCTCACCGACAATGAGAGATAGAAGATGAGCTTGAAGGAGAATTTCCGGAGGTCCTTAAAGCCCAGGTAGCAGAGGACTATGAATCCAGAGCCCAAGAAGGAGAACGCGGAGGCGACGACATTAATAAGCGTCAGCGTGCGGGTCTCCTCTGTAGTTAATCCCTCAATCATGGTGCCGGGTAATGCACGCTCCTAAGCTCGCTCAGCTGCTGCTACTGCTGCTCCTCCTCCTGCTGCTGCTGCTGAAAGCGATGGAACGAGGATGAGGGAACGGGTTGCCGTTGCTTTAGCGCGTCTGAAGTGTAAGGGGGTCCGCGGGAGGCGACTGGAAGAGAGACAAGACGAGCCTACGGTGAATGAGGCGTTGAGACAGATACGGCACCTGAACGCGAATTCAACTGTCTGTAAAGCGACCCATCATCGTACTTTCCGACAGCGAAGAAAGGTGTGCCTTTGCGAAAGCGGTTTGTGTCATTCGCCAGATTATCGTCGGGTTGGCTGTCAGCCAGAGTGTTGCTGCGACTCGCAAGTAGGTTAAACCTGTAACACTGGCCGATGACGATCGTGATATGAGGCGAGAGCGAGTCCCTTTGTCGAGAACCGGCGTTGCTTCTTGCGGATGATGATCTTGCCTCGCTCGCTGCTGGTCAGCTCGGACGCGTCAGCCGAGATTAAACTAGACTCGTGATTCGTGAATGGTATGCCAGGCGAACAAGAAATAGGTGATTGTGTTGGTTGGGGAGTACAGGTTGGGTAGGGAGAAGACAAGTTCAGATGACAAAGAAACATGTCAGAACCTTGGCAAGGAAGGCTACCGCGAAAGGGTTACTGGCATCGGCGAAGGTTACGAACCAGAATGTCTAAAATGCATACGAGCACAAATCACTGCAGAAACTCGAGAAGCACTATCAATGAGAAATATCTGTGCTATAAGTGCTTCTTTGGCATTATCAGCAAACCATTAGTTATGGACTAGTGTCCCTCACACACAAACATGCGTCGAGAATGTGTAATTAGTGGCACCTTGGAAGGTGACACATACCAGGCTAGTCAAGTTGCTGTTGTTGTGTACCTACCTGTACCAAAATGCTAGTGCGTTAGATTAGATCCTAGGTTAGTTATTTTACTAAGAACGCCAAATATACCACTGCGGTGAGAAAATCAGAACCAGGGATGCCACGTGGGATCCATCATGCACAGATTCTCTGGCTTGAGTGCTGCTTCCACCAGCTCCATGGCCCCCTGCTGCACTGACCGTAGCTCTGGCACGTCGCTCTGCACCATGGCGTTATCAGCCAGGACAACAGAGATTGGTTGTGTTGCAAACGAGAGGGAGGGGAGGGTGGGGGGGGGTGACGGTGGGGAGGAAAGAAGGAATAGGGTAGAGGATGGGGTGAGAACAATTGGCAATGGCAAAATGGGGTAGGAGGCAAGAACCAGAGAAAACAACAAAACAGCCTCACCACAAGTCTTTTGAAATGGCGAGTGGACACCCACAGAAAATAGTACACAACATGTGCCCCACTCTAAAAATTCTAAGAAAATGCAGCAAGCAGCCTCCATTTGCCCCACGCACCTGCAGAATCTCGCTGGCAGCAGCGGCAGCAGCAGCAATGGCTCCCACGTAGCTCTGCGGGGCCACACGCTGCAGCCGGCGCCACACGCTCTCCACGTTAGCCGCCACCTTGGCCTTGAGATCCGCCGTTGCTATGCTGCCACTGCTGCTGGCCGCACCGGGTGGGCCCAGGGACGGGGGTCTGCGCCATGACCAGGAGATAAGCTCGTCCCGGAAGAACATGGCAAAGTGATGCCTCATGTCATGCCGCTGTGGGGTGGGGGGGAGGGGGAGTGGGAAGAAGGGGAGAGGGGGGTGAGGGAGGTGGGGGCGAAGGGAGTAGCGGGGAGGCGTGAGGGAGAAGGGAGGGATGAGAGGAGGAGAGAGGGAAACAGGTGAAGATAACACTGGGAAAGGAGGAGGTGATTGAAGGACTGACATATAATAGGAATTTCCAAAACGTCTCAAAAGGTAAGTACGTTAGCTGGCAATGCTGTTGGGTTAAGCAGCTGTGTGAGTGGTGCATTGAGGAGCAGCTAAAGGGCCCCATGATGAGGCATTACACAAACCGTGGCGCAGGCAGTACCTTGGGAGCGAGGATGGCATGGGCGGCAGCACAGAGGGCGGACATGAATATGCCGAGCGTGCCAAAGGGTGTGAAGAAGGTGTGCAGGTTACGTGTGAGACGGAAGGGCACCGGCTCCTGACACTCCACCATGCCGTTGTGGTCGTATGCTGGTCGCAGGGGAAGAAACCGGGGCAGCGGAAGAGGCAGAGGAAGAAAGCAGCGGAAGCATGAGTCACGGTGGTGAGTCAAGGAGCAAGAGGACAGATCCGGCAGAGCAACCAACCAAGCACAGAAGCAAAGGCACAACAATACACGGACCTCCAACAGAGCCCTGACCGTGTCCAGCATGCAGCTAAAAAAGCAGGGGTGCCTTTTAAAAAAAGCAGGGGGACCAGAGCCCTGACCGGGACTCAAAAGCTTGCGGCTAATACAGCGGAGGTACACGTCGAGCCATTCAGCGGAGGTTCATTCACGGACTGACCTGGGTGGAAGTCGTTCTGGAAGATCTTGCCGGTGTTCCTCGCAAAGAGGGTCTTGCTGGGCGAGCGCCCGCCTATGTGCAGCAGGAACGACACGCACCCCGACAGCGCCAGCTGCGACGCCAGCTGCCGCTTGAACGTCCACAGGTGCGACGACGACGGCAGCGACTTGTACACAAACTGCGACATGATATTCTCCGACACCAGATGGGCCGTGATCTCGCGGTACGATCTCAGCCGTAGAGCCACCAGCCGCTCCCCGGAGAGTTGGTTGATGATCGCGGCGTTGAGATCGTGCTTGAATTTCGCGATCGGGAGGTCTGCTTCGCGGTTGTAGCGCGCGCAGTTCATCGCGTAAACCTCCGCGAAGGTGCAGTAGGTTACGTCGTCCTCCACCAGGCGCACCTGCGGCCACACGGGCACGATGATCGGCGTGTGGAACGCCAGGTTGCGCCGCCGCGTGTCCCGGTGCTTCAGCAGCGCTGCCCGGTTGATGGACCGCAGCAGCTGCACCGTGCGCTCGTCGCTGCGTGCCGACGGCGTGAGGGACGTCTGGACCAAAAAGTGCTTCTGAGACCCGTCGCTGCCCACGAGAGACAGCCGCCGGTGGCTGCTGCCGTGGCGGCGGATGATTGGCACGTCTGGGGCGATACGATCGAGCTTGACTGCATGCTCTGGCGGCACATCCTGGTCGTTAAAGTACTGCCCTGGGACCTCTATATCCATCACGTTCCACTCCCGCAGCTGCCGGCTCTCCTCCTCTAGCTTCAGCACCGCTGGTAACCGCTCCTCGATGTTACGCTGCAACACCCCCTCCCAGTGCTTGAGCGACGCTGTGAGGTCGGCGAGGGACTTGGGGAAGGTATCGGTGGATTCCGGGTCGAGAGACCGTTCGAACTCGCGTTTGTACTCGTTCACAAACTCGGTATGCTTGGTGACAGTATCAGAGGAGAAGCACGCGCGGCAGACACCAGACAGCTCCTTTTTGAGTGACAGAGGCACCTCGGCAGTGGTGGCGGTGGGGTAGCGGTAGCAGCGATGTAGCAGCGCGTGCACGACAGCGAGTAACCGCTCCTCTGGGAGAGGCACGAAACGTACGCCGATCTCTGTGAGCATGACCTCCAGCTCTGACGCCAGGCTGCCATACTTGGTGCGCAGCGCCTCCATCACCTCCATTGCTGCTTCGAATGCCATCACCGCTGCTGCCTGCCAGCTGCTTGTGCCGGCACTGTTACTTCCAGTACCAGCGGCGGCGGCGGCGGCAGCGGCAGCAGCGGCGGCGGTGCCAGCAGCAGCGCCGGATGCGCCTCCCCCAGGTGCACCTGCAGCGGCTGAGCGCCGGGCAACGCCCACCACCGGCCCGCCTGCTGCCAGTGCCGTTGGCGCCGCCGCCGCCGCCGCTGCTGCTGCTCCTGCTGCCGCTGCTGCTGCTGCTTGGCCAGGGGCAGCTGCTGCTGCCAGCCTGGTCCCGCCCCCAGGGTTGTAGGGCGGGCCGGCATCATTCGACGCAGCAGACACGGCTGTTCGCGACTCTGACATGGCCGGCACAGCCCTTGCTGCTGCACCCGCTGGCCCTCCCCCCTGCCCTCCTCCTCCCTGCCCTCCCCCAGTCGTACCTCCCCCAACTACCCCTCCAGCAGCGCCTGCACCCGTGTGCGGCCCTGCAGGGCCTGTTGCTCCCAGCACAGCCCCACCGCCGGTGCTGCCTGCTGCTGCAGCCGCCCCCCCTGCTGATCCCACGTTGCTCGCCCCAGTGCCAGCAGCACCACCGCCTGTACCAGCTCCTGCACCCTGCCCTCCTGCCCCTGCTGCTGCTGCCGCTGCAGCCGCTGCCGCAGCTGCTGCTGCTGCAGCGTGGGGGCGAGCTGCTGCTCTCTGTGCCACGTCTCTGCGCTCAAGGACGTGCGTGCGCAGCCAGTAGTAGAGCGCCTGGCGTGCACGGGAGAGGGCGTGAGTGAGAACACATGGACACAAGCGATATTGAACGGGCCAGCTGGTTGAGTCGAGTGCCCAGGCGATCATGGGCAGTGAGACAAGCATGGAGGGGTGCAAGCAAGCTTTGATTCACTCCTGTGGGGGAGAAGGGAAGAAGAGAAGACGAGTAGATGGGCAGTGGACGGGTTACAGTGGAAGGACACACAGTGGTGGACAGAGCATACCTGGGGGTAGGACGCGGCGAGGCGCAGGAGGATGGCCTTGGCGTGGGGCATCTCGGGGCGCTGCAGCGACAGCAGCAGCTGCGGCAGCCAGGCGAGCCACACCCAGTTGGGCACGTTGTCTGCATGCTTATCAAAGGCACGTGCCACCGTGCCCTCCCCATCCTCAAACGACAGCAGGTACAGCACGCGCGACAGGAACGTGCGGCCGCGCGGCGAGCCGTACGTGATGCTCTGGAAGTAGCAGGTGACTGCGTACTCAAGCCACACTGCCACGCCCGTGCTCTGCCACACCTGGTCGCAGTAGCACGCCCAGCTGAGCCACCCTCTCGGCGAGCTCTTGCACAGGGATACCGACGTGGAGAAGGCCACGTGTGCACCGTCTCCATCGCCCATGCGCCGCAGAAACTCGCCCTTCAGCCGGAATATCTCGGCCTGCAGCGGATGCGGGAAGTAATCCAGCCGCGTCACGTTGATCAGGTTCAGCCCGGTGAGGAGCTTCCCGCCTCCTTCCCGCATCTCCATGTAGGCTTTAACTTGCTCGCGGATCTTGGTGAAGGCTTCTTGGACCTCCATGGTCATGTAGCCGTAGAGGGAGTTGAGTAGGCGCACACATGTGCTTCCTAGCCCGTGGTGCCGCGCGACGGAGGCGAGACGGTTCACGCTCCACGCCTTGTCGCGGAAGCCGAGGGAGCGCAGGTCGGGACTGGTTTCCGGCAGGGACTGTTGGTGGGAGTGGGTGGGAGTGCGGTGGGGGGAGAGAGGAGAGGCGGGACGGAGGGAGGGTTTGGTGTGAGGTGATGAGGCATGAGGCAGTTTGAAGGTGCTGGTCGGGAGGGGCATGATGTGAGGCAAGATATGAGGAGAGGAGAAAAGAAAGGAGGATATGAGAGGTGCAACAAGACGCACAGAAGGAAACGGAGGAGGAAATCAGGAGAGGAAACGGAAGCAGCGGTTGGTGGTCAGTAGCAATACATCAAGAGAGGAGATAATGAAGGAGTAGACGTGGTTGCGCCACTGCAGCACGTCGCTCCACACGGCCACCTCCTCCCACTCGTTGGGCACTCTAATCCTCCACGTATCCAGCACATCTTTGAGCTGCGTGAACGCATACGGCGCCGACGCTCCCGCCCCTCCTGCCCCACCCCCAGGGCCGCTCCCGCCTGCTCCCCCTGCTCCTCCTCCTGCTGCTCCTGCAGCGCCTGCTGCAGCGGCGGCGTCGCGTGAGCCGCCGTGCATGGCCATGAGCTTGTGGTGCTTGGCGCCCGCTGCTATGTCCAGGCGCACGCGTGCTGACTCCTGCAGCTCCACCAGGCGCTGGAACTGTTGCAGTAGTGGCAGGTGCGGCTGCACGCCCACCACTGGCAGCTGCCACCACCTGCTCAGCGCCAGTGACACCCCCTGCATTGGGCAAGAGCCGTTTGTTGATTTGAGGAAAGGGAATCAGGGAGAGGAGAAAGAGGGAGGGACGGGAAGTGGGCAAGGGTGGTTTGTTCTTGAACAACGGTCGACCCAGGCAAGGAAAAACAAAAAAAAATCAAAAGAGAGAGAATGTCATCGTGGATGTGTCTTCAAGAACAGCACACCCCTTGCATGAATCCCTCCCACCTTGCAATCAGCCCTGCCCGCCCAAACCCCCAAACCCCAAAACACCCAAGCCCTCCTGATCCCCTCTGCCGTGTGCACAGCGTACCAGCGAGATGAGCTGGTCCGCCTCCTGGATGCTCTCCAGCGTGCCCTCCTGCAGCTTGCAGTACGCCCTCACAATCGCCACCCTTGGGCTCTCCTCCACCTGTGCCTTGGGCAGCACCGACTCCCTCAGCAGCCCCCAGTTGCCTCTCCTCCACTCCACATCCAGCAACACCTGGTAGTTGTCCACCTCGCGCCCAAACTCTGACAGAACATCCCACTGGCACAGCTGCCGGGCTGAGGCAAGCCACTGCTCCTCCCAGAGGGACTCCTCGGCCTTGCCGACCTTGTGGTTGGTGAAGCCGCTGTGCTGCCAGCGGGCCATGGCGCGGGAGAGCACCTCCTGCGCCTCGCGCCAGAAGCCGTGCTGCTGGAGGGCCAGCGCCACGTGGGTTTCTTGCGCTGCCTTGCGGCTGCGCCACAGCCCGTGCACCATGTCCGCGTCGTTCAGCAGCCTGTGGGCAGGTGTGGGGTGTGGGGGAAATGGAATGGAGGGTGGAGCAGGAAATGTGAGTTCTGCGGTGGCTCCAAAGCCCCTGGGCTTTGCTGCGCCACAGCCTGTGTGCACCATGTCCGCGTCGTTCAGCAGCCTGTAGGGATCAGGTGAGCACGAGTACAGGTGGTGCTATGCTAGGTGACGAGCATGCCCTGACACTGACCCTGGCGACACACTTACCACTGATGAACATGCCATTCAACTCAATCACACAGCTTCACATTGAAGGGGCACAGCGGCACATGACACATAGCACTTGCCCCTGAAAACCCCCAATGAGTTTTCCTGGAACCTTCCGCAGCAAATAAACCCGTGCATCCCCCCCAAGTGTACTTCCCAACATGCCCCTGATGTTCATAAGATGTACGTACATGATGATGAGATAAGACAACGCACCTGCTTTTGAGTCGACTCAAAAACATCATGTTCAGAAGATGTACGTACATGATGAGAAAAGACAGCGCACCTGTAGAGCTCGGCGAGGGCATCGAAGCAGCGCGCGTCCTGGGGGAACATGGAGACGTGGCTCTCGAGAAGCGGAATGGCCACGTGCCACGCGTTGAACGTCCGCCCCAGGTACTTTATCACCTCTGATGGGATCTTGGGCTGTGGCTGACTCAAACTGCGCAATGGGGCACGGGGCAAGGGGCACAAGGGAAATAATGGGGATATGAGACCACCACCAGTAGACAGGTGGGAACACGGTGGACAGATAACCGGACCAGACTGGACAAGTCTATACTAGAGCCGTTAGCTCTCTATCGCTCTGCCGGCGGCCCACCTGATGCCTTCGAGCAGCGCCTGCACGACGTTGGGGCGGCGGTGCAGCTGGTGGAAGTGGTACTCCCGGGACAGCAGCGCAATCATGGGCTTGGCCAGCTGCACCTGCTCGTCCTTGTGCAGCGACGCCCACACTATCGGAAATACCAGCACCCACAGGTGGTATGCCACCATGGGTTCCTCCACTGACATCTCCTGGAGGGGGCGCAGCAGGTCGGAGACTTGCAGGCGGAGAGAGTCGTTTATGAACTTGGTGTGCTTTGCTACGAGCGAGTTAAACGACAACCGCCCGCCGTCCGCTTCCTCGGAAGCCCCTCCCTCCACGGCCCCACTTCCGCTTCCACTCCCTCCTCCTCCTCCTCCCCCTCCGCCTCCCCCGCCGCCTCCTCCTCCTCCGCCCGACACTCCACCCGAGCTCCCAGCAGCAACGGAAGCATGGAGAGGCACGCCGCCAGCAGGCATGAGCGGGGGCAGCTGCGCGGAGTTAGGAGCAAGCGTGACGCTATCCCTATCAATGAGGATCGCGAGCAGCAGGTCGAGCGCGTGCTTGATCCAGAAGCTGTCTGCCAGCGCCTCCCAGCTCTGGCCGTGGATGATGAACTGCAGGCGCGTGCACAGCTGCCGCCCTATGGCGTCGTTGTAGAGAGAGAAGAACTTGGCGCGCAGGGTGGGAGAGCGCGAGCGCAGGCCCAGCATGAACACGCGCTCTACCTTTTGGAAGACCTCCTGGCGGATGGGCGTGGGGTACCTGGTGATTAGGAGGGAAGAGGAAGGGGGGGGGAGGGGTTGCATGAGGGTGGGGAAGGATGGGGAGAAATGGCTAAGCGGGGTGAGATGTTTCGTTTCCAGCTGACAGGAGGGCAGCTGAAGAAATGCTGTCAGAAACGGCGGGACAAAGGCAGGAGTGTGCGATTTTGAGGCGCTCAGAGAACAAGATTGGCAGGGGATGGGGGTTGAGAGGAAAGACGCGAGCGGAGATGCAAGGGAGGGGGTGGGAGGGAGGGAGGTGTTACCTGGAGGAGTCGGAGCAGAGGGAGTAGAGCAGGCCCAGGAACTTGCCCTCCCAGTCCCACGCTGGCTCACACGCTGACCCTGATGATGAGGAGTCTGCACTGGGTTGGGCCTGGGGAAGAGAGGAAGACACATCGGGCGAGGAGGTATGGCGGGTGGTGAGTGCAGATATGAGAGTCAACAAGAAGAGCTGAGAGGTGATGAGCGGTGCTGAGAGGTGATGACACGTTGCCACCCATGCATCATCGCGTCCGGTACTTCGCCCCTGTCAGTCCTCACTCCCCGCTTCCTCACTCTCTGTTACCCCCCCAATCCCCCCCACGCCCCACTCCCCTCCCACCAAACCCTACTTCTCCCCCCTTCCGCACCCTCCTCCGCAACCCCATCCCCCCAACTCCGCACTCACCCCGGCCGGCAGCGCAGGGGAGTCGGTGGAGGCAGCAAGTGCAGCAGCGGAGGAGGCACGGGAGGAGCGCGAGGGGGCGAAGTGGAGGTGGCAGAGGTGGCGCTCCTTGGTGACGAGTGCGAGCTTGTAGAGGAAGTTGACCACGTCCCGCGCGTTCAGCATGCCCGTGTATACCAGCTCCGCCTGCTGCTGCGCCCCCCTCACCACCGCCACCCTGGTGGGGGAAGGGATTGGGGGATTGGGGGGGGGAGGGAGGGGAAGGGAGGGGAAGGGAGGGAGGAAACCGGGAGAAGGAAAGGGGGAAGTGGGAAGGGGAGAAGGAGAGGGGGAGAGGGGTTGTGCAAGGGGGTGTGGGGGTTGGTGAGTGAGTGTGAGTGTGGCACGGAGGGGACGGGGAGACGGCGCTCCTTGGTGACGAGCGCGAGCTTGTAGAGGAAGTTGACCACGTCCCGCGCGTTCAGCATGCCCGTGTATACCAGCTCCGCCTGCTGCTGCGCCCCCCTCACCACCGCCACCCTGAGGGGGGAGAGGGAGGGGAGGGGCCGGGGGAGAGAGGGGGAGGGAGGTGGAAAGGAAGGGGAAGAAAGGGGAAGGAAGGGGGGGGAAGAAGGGGGAAAGGGGGGGGGAAGGAAGAGGGGAAGGGGGGAGGAGCGAGTGGGCGTGGGATTGGGAGCGTGAGAGTGAATGCGCCGAGGGACGTAAGTACCTAATTTCACGAAAACAAGAGGGCACACGGGGGAGCAGCAGTGCACACCTGAACTCCGTATCCACCCTTCACCACACAGACAGACTCCAGGATGGACAAAGGAGAGACGAATTTTACGGCACAAAAAAAAAACAAAACATCTCACTTTCACGCGAGCAGCCAGCAGCAGTGCGCACCTGAATTCTGTGTCCACCCATCGGCACACAATCAAGCTCTGAGACATCTCAAATTCTGAGACGTCTCAAACCACTTCACGCGGCAAAGAGCAGAACAGAGCAGCAGCAGTGCGCACCTGAACTCTGTGTCCACCCATCGGCACACAATCTCCAGAATCGACAGCAGCACAGCCGGGTCCGTGGCTCTGTCCGTGAGCAGGCTCTGCAGCAGCAGCCCAAACTGGCGCCGGCAGTCCGTCACATACAGCACACGCCTCCCCAGCAGCTCCAGAGCATCGCACAGATTATCCACCCCTGCCGCTATCAACCCCGGCCCCTCCTCCTCCCCACCCGCCCCGCCTGCCCCACCTGCCCCTCCCCCAGCACTGCCTGCACTGCCTGCAGCAGTTGCACCTGCAGCAGCGCTCCCTGCTGTTGCGGCTGCTGCGGCTGCACTGAAGCTGCCGGATCCTGCGCCTGCCAGTGCTGCCAGGCCTGGGGATGGCGGCTTGCCCCGCCCGCCCCCTGCTGCTTCATCCGCCTGTGCATCTCCCGTCTGTAAGCATGGAATGGTGGGGATTTTGGCACATAGTGAGTGGGGATCGGTGGCGTGTGATGAGTTGGGATGGGTGGAATGGAACGCGGAGAGGATTACAGGGCACAGAGTGACAAAAAAAAAAGTATGGACAGAAGGGTTTAGATATAGAACGAAAAACAAAGGGAAAAATATCAGCATGGGCCATCGAGAAAGCAGAAAGAAAAGCGGATGCCCAAGCAAGCAAGCGAGCAAGCCAGCCGTGTGACGAGAAGCAAAGCATTTGGCTGGCACGCACCAAGCCAGCAGCCGGGCCTGCAGCAGCAATGCTGCGAGAGAGGTGGAGGGCCGTGGGCACGAGCACAGGCAGAAGCCGGTCCACAATCTGCTGCTGCTCAGTTGCTGCCAATGTGTGCAGCACTGCCAGCGACGCCCAGATTGCAGCATTGTTAGCGGCAGACAGAACGGCCGGGGAAGAAGGAGCCGAAGGCAGAGTGGGGGTAGCACTTCGGGCCATGCCTGCGGCTGCTCCTGCCGCTCCAGCAGGTGTACCTGCACCAGGTGCACCTCCCTGGGGAGTAGCTGCCCCTGCCGCATGTGCTATGCCAGCAGCGCCAGCAGCACCAGGGCGGGAGGCCAAGGGAGGGAGACCTGGTGTTCCTGCTCTTCCCTGCTGCTGCTGCTGCTGCTGAGGCGGTGGCATGGCACCTGATCCTGCTGACCCAGCAGCAGAACCACCTGGGCCAGCAGCACCAGGAGTTTGCCCAGGTGCTGCAGCAGCAGAGCCTGAGCCAGAGGGCTGAGGCGAGACAATGGACACGAGAAGCTTCTGCGTCACTTCCTCCACCCTCTGTGCCACTGCTGCTACCTGCTCCAGATAGACTTCCTTTGCTGCTGGGTCGTCCTCTCGCCCCTTAGCCCCCTCCCCCCCCCCTGCTGCTGCTGCTGCTCCAGCAGTGGCAGCTGTAGCAGGAGCAGCAGGAGAGGGCGCAGCAGGAGAAGCGGAAGTGCCAGGGCCTGCGGCAGCGGCGGCGGCGGTGGCGGCGGCAGCAGCGCGTGTGGCGGATGGAGGGGAGAGGGAGGTGGCGGTGGAGAAGAGTGTGCGGAGAATGCGGCAGAGGCAGGCAATGACCTCCTTGGAGCGGCTTCTCATGCACGGCTCTATGATCTGCACGGGGGGGGGAGCAAAGGCGAGCATGCACGGAATGGGCAGGGATGGGCGGGAAAGACAGGAGAAAAGACGAGAACAGAGGGTGGGGAGACGATGGAAAAACCAGAGAGTATCTGTCAGTCCGTGCACAGAGGGGTGTGTGTGGGAGGGAGGTAATAGATGGCACCAGTACGGACACTGGCTGGGTGAAAGGTTGGCAGTGAGCGAGAGAAAATTGGCAGAGAGCCGGTAGAAATAATAGCGAAATTCGCAGAGAGCAGAGCATGCAGACAGGGTGAAGTAAATCCCACCTGAAGCACATGCACGGAGTTGTGGCGGAGGAAGGAGAGGGGGCTCTTGCGCACGCACGTCTCAATGACCCCCATGCCTGTCAGCAGCGCCACGGATAGGTCCTTGGTTGCTGCCGCTGCCTCCGCACCCTGCGCTGCCTTGCTTGCGCTTGCCTGCCCCTGCTGACTGGTGTCCCCTCCCTGAGACAAAGAGACCGGGAACAAAGGCATGGGGAAATGATACCGGCGAGTCGGTGACACCGCAGGATGCAGCAGCGAAAAGGCCTGGGAAGAAACGATCTTGTATAAGGCATGGAACGAGAAAAGCTCTGACAAGGCATGCAAAGAAAAGAGCAGGGAAGAGGCATGAGGAGGAGGCGTTTCTTCGAGATATTTTCAAAAAGTGCCTGTTGCAACAACGGGGAGGCACGGCGCGGCGCGCACCTCTCCTGCGGCAGACTGCTGAGCCTTCTGCTGGGCTGCTGTCTGCTGCTGGTGCAGCGCTAACAGCCGCTCGATGTAGTTCACACGGATGGTCGCCCAGGGCCACAGCTCCAGTGCCTCCTCTAGCAGCTGCAGCGCCTGCTGGTGCAGCGCCGTGGTGTCCTTGTCCTTGGGCTCCGACACGAATGCAAAGCGGATGAGGAAGTTGAGCACCATGTCCTCCATGCCTGTGTGCGGCCGGAAATCGTCGTCCCCTGCTGCTGCTGCACTCCCCGCCGCTCCCGCTCCTGCTGCTCCTGCTGCTGCATTTGCACCTGGTCCGGCTGCACTGCCAGCAGCAGCACCGGGACCCACCACATGCCCCTCCTCCACCTTCATCCGCTTAGCACCACCACCTCTCTCCTCCTTCTCTTCGCCTCCCCCTAGCACCCTCTTGGCTCCTGCTCCCCCTTGGCCGCCCTCGCCACCCTCGCCACCAGCACCCGCTGCCCCACCAGCAGCAGCGGCAGTGGCGGCGGCGGTGGCAGCAACTTCGTTGTCGCGGCGCTTCTTCTCCCAGTTCACCACGAGCCCTGCAAGGTCCACAGCCAGACGCCGATTTTCCAGCGAGCTGTTCAGCGGCAGCGCCAGGCGCTGCAGCGAGTGCACCATCTGGGGCAGGAACTGGGCGCGCGAGGGGTAGAAGAGATCAGCATGCCGCACAATGAGCTGGAAGATATGCACCAGGTGCGCGATTGAATACCCCTCCTCCACCAGGATTTTCTTTGTGTAACGAATCCACAGCGGCATCTTCTGGTCGCCCTGAGGCAGCCGGTTGGGAAGAGCCGGCATGAGCACGTCCAGAGATTGCTTCACCAGCAGCCGGGTTTCCGGCTGGCAGGCGCGCAGCAGCGCGACAAACACCTGCAGGATGATTTTTTCCGGAGCCTGGTACGCGTCGAGGAAGTGGCAGACGTTGACAAAGGCCCACTGCTTGCTGCTGCTGTCCTCGCGCTTGAGGTGGTTCCACCCGAACTTGATGAGCTCGCGGCGGTGCAGCTTCAACTCGTTGGGCGTGTGGCGGATGAGTAGTGTTGCCAGCTGCAGCAGCTCGATTCGCAATGGCTCGTCGTACTGGGCGCTCAGCTGGAAAGGGGAGCAGGGAGGGAGAGAGCGGGCGCAGTGGAGGAAAGAGGGAAGCAGGGAGGCAGGGGACTCAAGTGACTGATGTTATGGGGGTAGTGGTGTAACAGTAGCATCGAACAGCTCCTCATTCTCATCCTACCTCCCCCACCCCTCCTCCCTCCCTCCCCTGCATTCAACCCCGTATGATCCCACCACGACCCTCACCTCTTCCGGCGGGTCGAGCAGGCGATCAACAATGGTGCGAATGACAGTGGCATCCAGCAGCTCAGGGCCATGCCCATGACTGAGCAAGTGCGAGAGCATGGGCATGATGAGCAGCTGCAGCGCCGTCACCATCGCCTCCTGGTGTGCCGCCGGCATCACCTGGTTCACCGCCCCTCCCGCTGCCCCTGCTGCTGCTCCTGCTGCCGCTGCTGCCTGCCCGCCTGCCTGCCCTGCTGCTGGCGGCTGTGTGGGGTTGGTGAGGATTCCGCCCTGGTACAGCACGAGGAAGCGCAGGAGAACCAGCTTGCGTTGCTGTGGCGTGTACGTCTCTGGGAGCTGAGAGTGGTTGACCGGGGGGGCAGAAGGGTGGCAGATGGGGGAGGGAGTGAAGGGGGAGAAATGGGGGGGTGGGGTTCCCAGGTTTGAAAAATAGAGGAGTGGAGTGGAGTGAGCATCAGGTGTGGGATACACGCCACCACGGCGACGATCCTTGGAGCAGACATGAGAGTAGCAACCACAGGAGGTTTCTGAAACGGCTTGGAACATCACAAGAGCAGGCAGCGCAGGAGTGAAACCTGGAGCATGAAGAAGCGCTTGAGGAAGGCGTAGTCAATGTGTGTGCGCTGGCGGAAGTGAACTTTTGAGTTGACTCAACAGTCACCTCGTTACAATGGCACATTGACTCAAAAGTCACCTCATAGGAGCATTGCAGACCTGGAGCATGAAGAAGCGCTTGAGGAAGGCGTACTCGATGCGTGTGCGCTGGCGGAATTTGACTCAAAGTCACCTCATAAGAGCACAGCACACCTGGAGCATGAAGAAGCGCTTGAGGAAGGTGTAGTCGATGCGTGTGCGCTGGCGGAAGATGGCGAGCAGCGCAAACAGCAGATCCACCTCCTCCCGGTTGTGCTTCACGTAGTTGAGAAAACACTTGACCAACCACTTGCTCTCCTTCACCTGCAACCCACCAAACACGCCCCCACATTACATGCGTGATCCCCCATGCATACCCACCCCCACATACACGATCATTCACTCGCACCCATTTCCCCGGCCCCGCAACCCCTCAGACCCGCAATCCAGAGCACCCCCTTCCCCCACCCCCTTCCAACCCTCACACACACGCCCGTGCACGCACACTCGACGGCAAAAAGAAGGCCAGGCCACGTAGACACACACACCCAACAGACTTTAGCTTCAAGTTTTCAAGACATGATGCACCAGCTGATGAATGCATGCATTTGCGGAGATAAAAAGCCATGATACTACCATTGTGTACCAAGCAAGCAATGAGAAGTATCTTTTACCACCACGCTATGACAACCCACGCACCATGCACCACTAACTATGCAGCAAGCAGCAAGCACGCGGGCAAGCCCACCCACCATGTGCAGAGGCAGGTCCTGTTCGCGCATGAGCCGCTGCTTGCGTGCCGGCGAGTGCCAGAGATGCAGCAGCGCCTCGAAGATGTGCCTCTGCCCTCCCAGCCAGTCCGGCAGCAGCTTCACCAGCGCTCGCACCAGCGCTATCCCGTTCATCTGCCCCTCCACCTCTGCACGCACCGGCCACCACGTGGGCGGGAGAGGGAAAACGGAGAGAAGAAAGCAGCAGAGGGATGCAGGTGGGGAGGGGACTTTTGAGGCGCCTCAAAAGGCTTCACCAGCGCTCGCACCAGCGCTATCCCGTTCATCTGCCCCTCCACCTCTACACGCACCAGCCACGTGGGAGGAAGTGGGAAAATGGAGAGAAGACAGCAGGGATGCGGGTGGGGAGGGGGAGGGTAGAGAGATGAGGAGGGTAGGAAGAAGGAGGGGAGGGAGTCGGGAGGAGGAAGTGTTGATATTTCAAATTAACAGCAGTGGCAGGAAAGGAAGTGCATGCAGGAGGCAAGAGAAGCGGTACACAGGGGTAAGGAGGGAAGGGGGGGAAGGCGGAAAAAGGGGGAAGGGAGGTAGGGGGAGCGGGAGGGTTGGTAGGGGAAGGGGGAGGGAGGGAAGAAGCGCATGCAGTGGCACGACTAATGACATAACTGGGGGCCACACGCTGCTCGCTACGCACCTTGAGCGGGAGTGAGCGGGTGGGCGGGCTGAGGCAGGTCTGTGAGCCCCAGCGACGGCGCCACAGACCGGAACGCAGCAGCGATGATCTTATTGGGCGAGCGCGCTAGCTCCTCCCTCAGCGGCACGCCGGTATCCGAGCGAATAATGGCGAGGAAGCGGCGGAAGAGAGCCGGCTGGCTGAGCCGCGCTAGAAAGTAGTCCACCGACTCGTGCGAGTAGCGGTTGAGGAACTTGGTGAGGGGTTGCAGGTAGGGCGAGTTGAGGTCGGAGAGCAGGGAGGTGGGCGGGAGTGCGGCCTCCAGCTGCATGCAGAGGTGGACTAAGTCGTCTAGGAACTTAACGGCTTGCGATGGCAGCAGGTGGAATAGCTCCAGGATTGCTGCGGATGGGGAAAAGGGGGGAACGGGTGAGTTTTTTAGTTCACTCAAAAAGCGCGGTCTCGAGCTGCATGCACAGGTGGACTAAGTCGTCTAGGAACTTCACGGCTTGGGATGACAGCAGGTGGAATAACTCGAGTATTGCTGCGGTTGGAGGAACGGGGTGATGGATGGAGTGGGGAAACGGGAGGGGGGGGGTGGTGGGAGAGGGGGGTTACAGGTACGCGGCGAGGGGAGTATAGGGGAATAGCAAGGACAGGAAACAGGAGACACGAGGGATTGGGTTAAGGAAGAGCCGGGAAAGGGAAAGCATCAAGGCCTAGACTGCACAATGCAAAGTGCGTGGCACTGCAGTGCACGCTCACCAGCAGCTATCTTGGGCTCTTCTCCTGGCCGCCACGCTCTCTGCCCCTGTGCGGGCCCTCTGTCAGGCTCCAGCATCTTGGCCAGGTAGTCCTTGAGCTTGTCGCCCAGGGTCACGTTGAACCAGTTGGACAGCAGCTCCAGCAGCCGCGCAAGGCCCTGTGCGTGCGAGTCACGGGTGGAAGGAAGGAGGGAGCGTGCGAACAGGTCAATCTGGCAGAAGGGGAGACCTAGAGGCGCAGGATGAATGAAGCGAGAAGCAACGAGAAGCCGGAGAAGTTGAGGTTGAGGGGAAGGAAGGGGGGTTGAAGGAAGAGCTCATATCACACCTGGAGCAGCGGCAGGTTGAGGGACTTGTAGTGGGCGAAGTGCACGAGGATGGGGCGCAGGCTGGACTGCAGCAGCTCCTTGGGCAGGCGCTGCTGCATGATCACCTGCCTCAAACCCTCTTTAGCCGCACTGACAATCTCGGGCGTGCGCAGCGTGAGCGACTTGAAGAACATGGCAATGATGCGCGACCGCATGTCCGCGTGCCCGGGCGCCTTGCACTCGTCCCACGCCATGGCGGTGCAGAGCAGCTCAATGCATGCGGAGCGCAGGCCCGTCAGCACGGCGGCCTGCCGCCCTGTGAGGAACTTGGCGTGGAGAACCGCCTCGTCTGCCTCTGCCACGCTGAGAGCGTCCTGGAGAAGTGTGAGCAGCTCCGGGGTGAGGCGCAGGAGAGGCGGGCGGAGGGCCAGGCAGAAGTTGGCACACATGACCGTGCCCACCTGGGATGAGGGGGGGAGGTGGGGAAAAGAGGGGGGAGAGGAATTTGCGTCGACAGAAATAAGGAGATGGGGGCGCGGCACTAGGTAGAAGTTGCCACACTTGATAGTGCCCAACTCGGATGATGGGGCGACGGGGAGAAGAGTGGAACGAGGAGAGAGATTCATGCAGGCTAGCATGACACTCTGCTTGCGTTGCAGCAGACTGCACGCACAAACAAACACACTGCACGCACGCTCGCATGCACAAAATAACGCACGCACGCACATACCTGCTGCTCCACGTGGCGCGACCGCAGCAGACGGCTGAGAAGCGGAGCGAGCAGCGGCTAGTACGTGGGCTCGAGCAGCTCCAATACCTCGGAGCCCCTGCACGACGCCAGCAGCGCCAGACTTCTGAGTCAACTCAAAACACGCTCGCACATACCTGCTGCTCCACGTGACGGGACCGCAGTGGGCGGCTGAGCAGCGGGGCCAGCAGTGGCTGGTACGTGGGTTCCAGCAGCTCCGACACCTCAGAGCCCCTGCGCGATGCCAGCAGCGCCAGGCTGGCCTGCACGTTCTTGCGCACTACGCGGGGCGAGTTGGGGTTGAAGAGCTCCACTGCTAGGACTTCCAGCACGGAGCGGAAGCTCGCTGTGCGCTCCTCTGATGCCGTGTCGTCCATGCTGTTGGCCACTCGTAGTACTTGGGTGAGAACGTGGGTTGTCTCCTCTCGCTCCCTCACTGAGTGCTGCGGCAACCTCCGAAGCACGAAGAGAAGTGCACGCACTATGCGAGACTGGATGGGGGAGGTGGGAGGGGAGGGAGGGGAGGAGGGAGGGGAGCGGGAAGAGGGAGGTGGAGGGGTGAGGATGAGGGGCACACAAGTGGGTGGGGTAACTGGGCCAAGCGGGGACATTACACACACAAGGCATCAATGTGCTGAGTTGCATTCTCGTCAATAACGCAAGGCGCACCACGCCGGACCAAGAGTGGCGCAAGGAGTGCAACGCTCAGGCAGGCAGGCAGGCAGACGGGCAGGCGGGCCGGCAAGCACGCATGCACGCACGCACGCACGCATTTACCATTCACAGCTCACCTGAAAGAGACTCAGCATGTCAACAGGGACCTTGCCCACGAGCGCACCCAGCCCCATCACCCCGCCAATCTGCTCATGCCATGTGAGCCCATAGCAGCAGTGCAGCAGGCGCGAGAGCAGCTCCTCTAACACCGGCACACTCAAACCCGGCGGCGCAGGCGCCACCACACTCATCGACGGGGACGAAACCATTCCCGGGGTGCCCGGCGTGGGGAGCACGGCAGGGATGGCGGTGCCAGCCTGACGGCAGCGCGCCATGAGAATGACTGAGTCTGTGAAGGAGGTGAGGGCGGAGACGGCAGCGCGAGCATGCGCTCTGTTCTCTGATATGAGCACGGAGACCAGGGCGTCTATGAAGATGATGGGGTCTAGGACTCGTAGGGAGGACTGCTGCTGCTGCTGCTGCGTCTGCTGAGTCTGCTGCGCTTGCTGCTGCTGCTGCTGCTGCGTTTGCTGCGGCTGCTGCTGCTGCTGAGCCTGCTGCGGCTGTGCCTGTGGCTGCTGCCTCTGCTGCTGCTGAGCCGGCATAGATTGGCCTTGGGGAGGCCGGCCAGCTTGCTGCTGCTGTGCTGGCTGCACCTGCACAGCTGCCCGTTGCTGTGCCCCTTGCACCCCTTGCACCCCAGACACTGTCGCCCGCGAATCACCCTGTGCAGTGCCTTGAGTAGGGCGAGCAGGGCTTTGGCCAGAAGCAGGAGCCAGAACTGCTTGGCCCTGCTGTATCTGCCCACTCACGCCTTGCTTCACTTTATCGCCCTGTGGAGAGGTCTGTATCTGTGCCTGCACCTGCGCCTGTCCCTGTCCCTGCGCCTGCACCTGTGCCTGTCCCTGCGCCTGTGCCTGTCCCTGTCCCTGCGCCTGTGCCTGTGCCCGTCCCTGCGCCTGTGCTTGACCTGCTGCAGTGTTTTGCGGGCCCACTGTCCCAGGGCTGGTCTGCACTGCCTCCGCTTTCACTGCACCTCCAGCATGCGGTCCTGCCGGCTGTGTGCTCAACACCTTCTTCTCCCCTGCTGCACCTTGTGACGCCCCTGCTTGCGCCTGCTGCTGTGCCTGGGCCATCTGCTGCTGCTGCTGCTGCTGCTGCTGCTGCTGCTGCTGCTGCAGTGCTGGTGGTGGCCGTGGCTGTGCTGTCACAGCTGGTGTGGGCTGTTGCGAAGGAGCAGCTGATGTCCCTGCCGCTTGCTGGACTGCACCCTGTGCCCCTGCTGCGCCTCCACCTTGCTGCACTACCGTACCTTGCTGTGTCACCACCTGCTGGTGCTGCTGCTGCTGCTGCTGCGGCGGCGGCGGCGGCGGCTGTTTAGGCCCCTCTGATGCTGGCTGTGCTTTCTGCACTGTTTGCGCTGGCTGCACTGCGGATGCTGCTGGGGTTGGTACCAATGGCAGCAATGGGGTTGGTACCAATGGCAGCAATGGTGTTGGTGCCACAGGTGTTGCCGGTGGCGGCTGCACAGGCTGCTGTGCTTGTGCCTGCTGCTGCTGGCCTTGCACAGGTTTGACAGGTGATTGCTGTGGCCCAACCACCTGCTCAGCTTTCACCTCCTTACTTCCCTCCCCTACATCTTCCATCTTCACATCTTGCCCTTCTCCCTCTCCACCCGCCTTGCCTTCTGCTGGCTCTAGCTTTGCCCCGACACCTGTTGAATCCACCTCCATCTTGTCACCAGTTTCCTTCTCTCCTGCAACCCCACCTGCCCCCTCCTCTTGTTCCTTTCCTCCCTTCACTACTCCCGCCTTTTCCTCTGCCACCGCGCCTGCAACAGTGCCTGTCTCTTCTGGCTTGCATTGAACCGCTGCTGCCTGTAACTGCTGGCCCTTCTCTTCCTCCTTCACCCCAACCACTACCTTCCCCTCCTCCGTACCTTTCTTGTTCTCCTCTACTGCAGCCTTCTCCTTACCACCGCCATCTCCTGATGCACCTGCAGAACTTGATTTCTCTTCTCCCTTTATACCTGCCTCCTCCTTCACCTCCTCCTTCCCCTCCTTCCCCTCCTTCACCTCCTTCCCCTCCACCATCCCCTCTTTCTCTCCACCCTTACCCACCGCGCTCTTTTCTTCTCCTGCAGCCTCCTTCTGCTTCCCACCATCTGCCTCTCCCCCACCACCACCTGACTCAACCCCACCACCACCAGTCCCTTTATCAACTACCTGCTTCTCTGAATCCGCCTTACCATCTGGCCCAACCCCATGCTGCTTCTCAGCCTCCTCTCCTACCTTCTTCTCACCCTCCTCCTGGAGCGGCGTACCCTCCACCTCTTCCACCTTCCCTCCCTTCACGTCCTTGCTCTCCTCCTCCGCCCCTGCTGAGCCACTCTCCCCCTTCTCACCCTCCACTCCCTCTCCTTCCTTCCTGCCACCCGCTGCACTCCCATCGTCTTTCTTCCCCTCCCCCTTCCCATCCTCGGCTGTTCCTTCCTTCGTACTCTCTCCTTCCGCAGACCCTTGTGCACCAGGGCCTTCCGCAGCCTTAACACCACCTGCTGCCCCCTCTCCTGCTGCACCCTGCTCCTTATCACCCGTGACCTTCACCACACCCTTCTCCTCCCCATGAGCCTCCGCCTCTCCACTCCCCGTCGCCTCTGCTTCCACTCCTTTCTCCACTTTTTCCTCCACTTCTTCCTCTGCCTTCTCTGAACCTCCTGCACCCTGCGATGGCTCCTTCCCCTCAGCCTTCTCTTCTTCCTTCACTTCCTTTGTCCCTGATGTTTCTGTAACTGTCCTTGTTTCTGTCCCTGTGCCTGTCTCTGTCCCTGTCCCTGCTCCCGCGCCTGCCTCTGTCCCAGTCCCTGTCCCTTCCGCCTTCTCTTCACCCTCGTTGGTCTTATCAGGAGCAGCGGCGCCAGTCGTCTCATCAGATGCTCCTCCCTCCTTGACCTCTGGCTCCTCCTTCTGTGTCATACCATCGTCCTGCTTTCCTCCATCGTCTCTCCCCTCCTCCTCCTCCACCTTACCTTGCTCCTCCTTAGCAGCAGCAGCAGCAGCAGCAGCGTCCTTTGTCCTCTCCGCCCCACCCTCCTCCTTCTCCCCTCCAGCCCCATCCCCCTCCAAAGCCACAACCTCACCTCCCTTCTGCTCCTCATGCTCGCCTTTCTCCTTGTCATCTCTCGCCCCATCCTCTCCCCCCTCAGCACCATCCTGCTCCGCATCACCCACCTCCTCTGCACCACCTCCCTCGCCCTTCTCCGCCTTGCTCTCCTCATCCATCCCCTCAGCACCTGCACTTTCTTCCCCTTCCTTCTTCTCCTTGCCGCGCCCTTCGGCCCCACCCTCATGTCCCTCCTCCAACCCCTCCTTCCCATCAACTCCACCCTGCTCCGCTGCCTGCTTCCCCTGCTCCCCCTGCTCGCCCTGCTCGCGCTCCTCCTTCTGCCCCCCCTGCTCCGTTTCTACTCCGCCCACACCACCATCTGCACTGTCCTTCATTTCTCCCTCCGCAACCTCCCCTGCCTTGTCCATCCCTTGTTCCTCCAACACTTTCTCTTCCTTCTCATCCGCCACACCCACAGGATCGCCTTGCCCCTCTCCCACTTCCGCACCTTCCTCCTCCCGACCTTGCTCTGCCTGCTCCCCTCCCTCAGGCCCACTCCGCCCCACCTCCTTCCCTCCCTCCGCCTTATCTCCCCCTGCCTCCACTGCTGCGACTTCTCCGTCGCCTTCCTCATCCTTCCCCGCTTCTGCATCACCCCCCTCTCCCACGCCTGTATCATCCTTCCCCTCCTCTTTCCTTTCTTCCTTCCCGTCTTCCTCCAACTTCCCTGCGCTCGCCTCTCCACCACCCTCCTCTGGTTTTTGCTCTGCCCCCTCTGCACCCTGTGCCTGCTCCTCCCCTGCACCACCCTCCACTGCTGCCTCTCCTTCTTTCTCCACGTCTTTCTGCGCGTCCCCTCCCTGTGCCTCTCTCTCACTCTCTTTCAAATCGCCCTTCTCCTCTCTTTCTCCCTCAGCAACCTCCTCAGCCCTCTGCCCACCTGCCTTCTCCTCCTCCCCTTCACCCGCCTCTCTCTTCTCCTCTTCAGCTACCACCGTCGTTTCAACTTTCTCCTCTCCCCCTGCCCTCTCCTCTCCCGCTTCACCTGCCTCTCCCTCTGCATTCTCCTTGGCCGCTTTCCCCGGCCCATCCCCCTCACCCTCCCCTTCCACCTCCATACCTGCAGCTGCCTCGTCTTGCCCTGCAATACCACCTCCCGCCTCTCCCTCTCTATGTTTCCCCTCCTCTGAGAGCTTCACTCTCTCTCCATCGTCTGCCTCCTCTCCTTGAATCCCTCTCCCCTGTTCCTCTCTCTCTGCTTTCTCCTCTTTCTCCTCTTTTCCCTCACTTTCCTCTTTCCCCTCTTTCTCTTGCTCTGTTTGCTCCTCTTTCCCCTCTTTCTCCTCTTTCTCCTCTTTCTCCTCTTTCTCCTCTTTCTCCTCCTCCTCTGCTTTCACCACTTTGGCATCCCCACCCTGCTTCATCTCAACCTTCACAGCCTCCCCACCAGCTTCCCCATTCCCTGCTTCGCTCTCTTTTTCTACATCCGCCTCCTTCTCTCCTTCCCCCACCTTCTCCCCACCCTCCTCCTTCCCCTCGTCCCCAACCTTCTCCTCGTCCCCCTCCTTCTCCTCGTCCCCCTCCTTCTCCTCGTCCCCAACCTTCTCCTCGTCCCCAACCTTCTCCTCATCCCCAACCTTCTCCTCTCCCCCCTCCTCCTTCCCTTCCTCCACCTTCTTCTTCCTCTCTTCACGCGCCCCCCCATTCTCACCTTCCACTTCCATAGCTTCCGCTTCATTCTCCTGTGTTACCTCCGCCTTCTCCTCTTCCCCCAAACCCTCCCCCTTCCCCTCCTTTTCCTCTTTCCCCATCTCATTCGCTTCCACCTGAGCCATCCCAGCATCCTCCGCTCCACTCACCGCATTCCCCTCTTTCTCTACATCCATAGCAACAGCCTCCTCCACCGTAACCCCCTTGTCTCCCTCCTCCCCAGTACCCTCTTCCACCTTATCCCCCTCGCCCTTTCCCCCCTCACCTTCTGCTACTTCAACCATCTCTTCCTCCATCGTCACATCTCCCTTCTCTCCTGCACCAGCTTCCCTTGCTTCACCACTCGTGCCACTCACTCCTTCAACAGCAGCCTCTGCTGTACTAAATTTCACCTCCTCATCCCCCTTCCCTGACTGCTCCCCTCCCCTCTCAGTCCCTCCCTCCCCTCCTCCACCCTCCTTGCCCGCCTCTCCTTTCTCCTCTACCACGCCTCCCCCACCCTCCTTTTCATCACCAGTTCCCCTCGCCTCCCCTTCCACCTCCTCCCTACCCTCAGTCTCACCCATAGCGTCCTTCGCATCGACTGCCATGCCCTCTGTGCCCTCACATCCCTCCTCCACCTCCCCTTCCTGCTTCTTTCCTCCTGCAGTTGCAGCTTCACCTACCTCCACCTTTCCTGCCACAGCCTCTTGTCCTGCACGATCCTTACTCTCATCCGTCCCTTCAACTTTCGCACTGTCCTTACCAACCCCTCCATCCTTCGCATCTCCTGCCCCTGTCTCCTTTCCTTCAACATCCGAGTCAGCCGTGGCAGCTGCAGCAGTGGCAGCAGCAGAAGCGCCCTTTCCAGCACCCTCCCCGTCCACCTTCACTCCTGTAACTTCCACTGCCCCACCAGTACCTTTCGGTGCGCCCTCCTTGTCCTCCTCCTTTTCCGTCTCCTTATCCCCCTCCTCCTCCTTCACCTTCTCCGTTTCTTTCTCCTTCTCCTTCTCCTTCTCCTTCTCCTTCTCCTTCTCCTTCTCCTCCTCCTTCTCCTTCTCCTCCTCTTCCTTCGTGCCCTGGACATCTTTCACTTTCACTTCAGCAGCCACCGCCACTGTCGCAGCACCCTCCTCTGCCTTCTCTCCACTCTGCATCACATCCCCCATCACAGCATCATCCCCATCTTCTTTACCTGACGTGCCACCACCCACCGTCTCATTTTTCTCTCCACCTCCTTCCTCTTTTTTTCCTTCTCGCTTGTCCTCCTCCATCTTCTCTTCCTTGTCCTTACCTCTCTCCTCTGCCTCCTTCTCCCCACCCTCAACACTACCTTTCCCTTGCCCAACCTGACTCACTCCACTCGTCTTCTTTTCCTTCTCAACCACTCCACCTCCCTCTTTGCTCTGCCCTGCTACATCTGCTTCCCCTACAGATTTACCCTTTTCTTCCGCCACCACACTCTCCTTAGATTTCTCCTCATCCGTCGCCTGACTGGCCTTGCTCACTTGCACCTGGGTCCCCTGTGCAGCCACTTGCTCACCGGACCCACTTCCCTTGGCATCTGCTCCTCTGCTTTGTGTGCTCTGTCGGGACTGTCCCTCCTCTTGTCCCTTTGTGATTGGTAATTGTGCCTGCGGTGCCTGTGCCGGTGTCTGCGACTGTGCCGGTGTCTGCGCCTGTGCCTGTGTCTGCGCCTGTGCTGCTGCTTGCACTGGAGCGGCCACAGGAGCTGCCACCACACCAACACCTTTCCCTGGGGCAGTTGCTGCTTTCACTTGCGAGGGCCTTGCCACTTGTGCGCTTGCAGCTGCTACTGCCGCCTGCCCCAGCTGAAGGACGGCCAGAGCTGGTACACCTGCCACCGCTGCCCTACTTGCTGTGGCTGGCGATGCTGTAGCTGCGGGAGCTGCTACAGCTGCAGGTGCCGCTACAGCTGCAGGTGCCGCTACAGCTGCAGGGGCTGCTACAGCTGCAGGGGCTGCTACAGCTGCGGGAGCTGCTACAGCTGCATGTGCCGCTACAGCTGCAGTGGCTGCTACAGCTGCAGGTGCTGCTACAGCTGCAGGGGCTGCTACAGCTGCAGGAGCTGCTACAGCTGCAGGAGCTACTACAGCTGCAGGGGCTGCTACAGCTGCAGGTGCCACTACAGCTGCAGGGGCTGCCACAGCTGCAGGTGCTGCTACAGCTGCAGGTGAAGGGGCTGCTACAGTTGCCGATACTGCTACAGCTGTTGGTGTTGCACCAGTAGTTGAAGCTGTTGGTGCTGCTACTTTAGCTGCTGGCGCCACTGGTGCTGCTACAGCCGCTGGTGCTGCCGCAGTTACTGGTGCTGCTTTACCTGCCGCAGCTGCTACAGCTTGCTGCGATACAGCTGGCTGTGCAACGCCAGGCATTTGAGCCTGCCCCTGAACCATCTGTTGCACTGCTCCGGGCTGCGCAGGCTGAACTGGCGCCGCTGCCGGCTGTGCTTGAGGCAACACTCCCTGTGGTCTCGCCACCACCACTCCTTGTGGACGAACCCCCTGTCCCTGTGCCACTGCCGCTGCCGGTGCCTGCCTTTGCTGCTGCTGCTGCTGCTGCTGCTGCTGCTGCTGCTGCTGCTGCAGTGGTTGCTGCTGCTGCAATGGTTGCTGCTGCTGGCCAGGGGGGGCTAGGCCTGTTCTCGCTTGTACCGTCACCTGGCCTTTCTGGGGTGAGGCAGCCACCACGCCTTTGCTCTGCGCTGCTGCTGGCACAGCAATGCCTGACGGTGACGCCTTCCCTGCTGCCGCTGCCGCTGCCGCCGCCGCCGCTGCTGGTGCTGTTGCTGCTGGAGCTGCTGCTGCTGCTGGTACTGCCACCACTACTGTGGCTGTTCCTGGCGCTGCTGCTGGCACTGCAACAGCAGAAGAGACTGGTCGAACAGCCACCTGCTGCTGTGCACCCTCGGCACCCCCTTGCTGCCCCACCAGCCGCCGCTTCCTATCAGGACCATCCTGCTCCCCGCCCTCTCCATCAGCGGACTTCCCTACTGCCACTGGTCTTCCCGAGGCCAGACCCCTCCCATCCACCTCCATTGCTTCCGGCTTCACCTTGCCTGCCTCCTCCTCCCTGCCTCTCTTCCTCGCCATGCCTTCCTGCTGCTGGTTCGTTGTAACATCCCCCATCACCTCATCCTTACTGCCTGCATCTCCTCTCTGCCCAACGCTCCCTGCTCCACCTGCTACCCTGCCTGCTGCCATAGCAGCACCACCAGAACTTGGCCCGGTGGCGGCGGGGGAGGCAGCAGGAGGAGGCGTGGTGCCGGTGGTGGCACTGGGGGCTGCAGGGGGGGGGGTGGCTTGGTTGTTGTCGAGGTGGGAGAGAATGGCAAAGTGGCGGCAGATATTGACAACCAGCTCCTCGTCGGAATCCTGGGGTCATAACGAGTATGAATGAACGGAGGGACGTGAGCAGAGATTGAGGAAAGAGAGCATGAGCCAGAAGAGAGGCGTCGAGAGTGACGGACAACTTGGTTGGTAACGATTAGTGATGTAGTACCCAGAAACCCTAACAGACAACCCTGAGCCTGCATCTAACCTGCACTGGCCTGCAACTTTGGCTGTGACCATAACTGACTGCGAGTGTGACGATGGTTGACTGACTGTGACTGACTGTGACTGACTGTGACTGTGCTGTGACTCTGACACTGCTCAGGCTCACACCTGAAGCTCTGGTTGAGAGGAGGAAGCAATGACAGCACACAGCAGCTGCTTGAACAGTGCTCGCTCCGCCTGCAGCTGAGTCTTCGTCTTCGCCCCAATGTCAACCTGTTGGGGTCACAAGAAGAAAAACCGACACACCAGTTTCAACAGTGGCAGGGCACAGCAGCACAGCCAGATGGCACTGGTTGGAATGCCAAGGAACCACCCAAGTGCTGCGTACTCCATTGTGTGAGCACGTGGTGCTTTATGCACTGTTCCAGCAGCTGTATCATCCCGCAAGCTCCTACTTGTGGAGGCTACTGACTGCTACTGACTAACCTTGGGGGCAGCAAACTCCACCCGGTGCCTGCTGCGATCAGCAGGAGACAGCAGCAGAGAGGCCAGCTGCTGCGAGCTAATTCCAGCCTCGCGATCCACATTTCCCCGCAGATTCAGCACAGACAGCAGGCACACACGCAGGAACCGCAGCGACTGCCGCCGCAGGTGCAGCGTGAGCGTCGGGTTGGAGAAGGAAGAGGGCGAGGAGGAGGAGAAGGTCCCAAGAGGCGTTGGGATGGCGCCAGAGGACGGGCCGGAGGAGGAACGAGAGGATGCTGAGGCGGTGGATTGGCCAGCAGGGCCGCTAGCAGCAGCGCCCTGGCCACTGCTGGGGCCGCCTGTGCTCCCTGCCTGCCCTTGTTCTGCCTTCACCTCCCCACCCTTCCCTTCCTGCGGCTCTGCCTTTGTCTGGATGCCACGCTGCTCCTGCTGCCCCTGCTGCTGCATCATGCCTGGCCCTGCAGCAACAGCAGACGGACCAGCCGCACCGCTACCACCACCTGCTGCTGCTGCTGCTCCTCCTGCTGCTCCTGCACCTCCTCCTTCTCCACTGCCCGCACCTGCTGCTGTTGTAACTCCTGGAGAAGGGAGCGGGGGGGGAAGCGGGCCTGCCATGACGGCAGCGTAGGCCAGCTGAACACAACGGTCCAGGGGCACGAGAAACGATGTGCTGGGCTCAAACGTGAGGATCAGCCGCAGCCCATGCTCCGGATTCTCCTTTGCCTCCAGCACCAACGGGTCTTTCAACCTGCGGTTTCGCCCGCCCAGCTTCCCCAGCAGCTGCAGCGCCTTGCTGCCATACGGGTACGGCTTCGGGCGTAAATGCGACCAGAGGCAGAGCAACAGGTCCGGTAGCACAGGAGCCATGGCTGGCTCTAAAAAGTCTGGATTGACCGAGTCAACCCAGACCTCGAGTGTGCGTAACCCAAGCCCCACCAGCTCTTCAGATCCGCGAAGGGCCCTTAGCAGGGGTTTCATGAGGCGCGGGAGGTGGGAGAGCAGCGAGGAGAGGCGAGCAGGGAGAGAGAGGCTGAGCTCCAGCAGCAGATCGTTCAGTTGAGGGCCTGAGGGCCCGTTGAGGAGCGAGACAATGGTGTTGGTGCAGGGAAGCAGGTACGGCACAAACTCGCGATACAGCAGCTCGAAGCGGCCCCCGGAGAGCGCTCGGAACATCATGCGCAGCAGCTGGAGATACGCGTGCGGGCGGTCGAGGTCCGTGGCGGCTTTTAACGAGGCGTCCATTATGGCGGATATGTGGGGCTGCAGCACGCGCTCGCAGTCGTTGGGGTACTTTGCCACGGCGCCGAAGAGAAGGCGGAAGAGCTGCTGCACGAGCCCTGCCACTGGCGTGTCGGGCGTGCGGAGAGCGTCCAGGCGCGAGGTGACGAGGAAGCTGGCGAGTACCTCCGCAAAGTGGCGGCACGCCTTGTGGTTCTGTAGGAGCGCTGCAAAGACCTGCGTGGGAGGAGGGGTGGGAGGGAGAGGAGCACAGAACAACACAACACAGAGAGTCAGAGACCCAAGTGTCCATAACAACAGTCGCAAACGGCCACTACGCATAAACGCAAGGAGCAGGGACGAGTGAGGAGTTTGAGAGGTGCAGAGCAGAGCAGAGCAGAGCAGTGCAGAGCAGAGCAGTGCAGAGCAATGCAGTGCAGGGACACAGGCAGTGGGCCCCCCACCCCACCCCACCCACCTGCAGCAGCTGCGAGTTGTTGAGGAGCGCTTGGAAGAGCGAGGGCATGGTGAGGGAGAAGATATCCATGAGGTCCCTTGGCTCCATGACTGTGAACACGGACGCGAAGTGCAGGAACGTGTCGTCGTCCTCCTTCTCCTTGAATACCGCCAGGCACTGCACTCCACTGCGCAGCATCGCACTCGCCAGCAGCACCTGGTGGCCGCACCGCACGGCACGTGGGGTGTTGTGTTGGATGGAATGAAATGGTGGTAAGAGCAGCGTGGGAGGTTGTACAACAGAGAAAGTTTTGAGACGTCTCAAAACTAAATGGTTTAAGAGAAGCGTGGGAGGTTGTACAACAAAGAAAGTTTTGAGACGTCTCAAAACTAAATGGTTTAAGAACAGCGTGGGAGGTTGTGCAACAGAGAAAGTTTTGAGACGTCTCAAACTAAATGGTTTAAGAGCAGCGTGGGAGGTTGTACAACAAAGAAAGTTTTGAGACGTCTCAAAACTAAATGGTTTAAGAACAGCGTGGGAGGTTGTACAACAAAGAAAGTTTTGAGACGTCTCAAAACTAAATGGTTTAAGAGCAGCGTGGGAGGTTGTACAACAAAGAAAGTTTTGAGACGTCTCAAAACTAAATGGTTTAAGAACAGCGTGGGAGGTTGTACAACAGAGAAAGTTTTGAGACGTCTCAAAACTAAATGGTTTAAGAGCAGCGAGGGAGGTTGTACAACAAAGAAAGTTTTGAGACGTCTCAAAACTAAATGGTTTAAGAACAGCGTGGGAGGTTGTACAACAAAGAAAGTTTTGAGACGTCTCAAAAATAAATGGTTTAAGAACAGCGTGGGAGGTTGTACAACAGAGAAAGTTTTGAGACGTCTCAAAACTAAATGGTTTAAGAGCAGCGTGGGAGGTTGTACAACAAAGAAAGTTTTGAGACGTCTCAAAACTAAATGGTTTAAGAACAGCGTGGGAGGTTGTACAACACAGAAAGTTTTGAGACGTCTCAAAACTAAATGGTTTAAGAACAGCGTGGGAGGTTGTACAACAGAGAAAGTTTTGAGACGTCTCAAAACTAAATGGTTTAAGAACAGCGTGGGAGGTTGTACAACAGAGAAAGTTTGAGACGTCTCAAAACTAAATGGTTTAAGAGCAGCGAGGGAGGTTGTACAACAAAGAAAGTTTTGAGACGTCTCAAAACTAAATGGTTTAAGAACAGCGTGGGAGGTTGTACAACACAGAAAGTTTTGAGACGTCTCAAAACTAAATGGTTTAAGAACAGCGTGGGAGGTTGTACAACAGAGAAAGTTTTGAGACATCTCAAAACTAAATGGTTTAAGAGCAGCGTGGGAGGTTGTACAACAAAGAAAGTTTTGAGACGTCTCAAAACTAAATGGTTTAAGAACAGCGTGGGAGGTTGTACAACAGAGAAAGTTTTGAGACGTCTCAAAACTAAATGGTTTAAGAGCAGCGTGGGAGGTTGTACAACAAAGAAAGTTTTGAGACGTCTCAAAACTAAATGGTTTAAGAACAGCGTGGGAGGTTGTACAACAAAGAAAGTTTTGAGACGTCTCAAAACTAAATGGTTTAAGAACAGCGTGGGAGGTTGTACAACAAAGAAAGTTTTGAGACGTCTCAAAACTAAATGGTTTAAGAACAGCGTGGGAGGTTGTACAACAAAGAAAGTTTTGAGACGTCTCAAAACTAAATGGTTTAAGAGCAGCGTGGGAGGTTGTACAACAAAGAAAGTTTTGAGACGTCTCAAAACTAAATGGTTTAAGAACAGCGTGGGAGGTTGTACAACAGAGAAAGTTTTGAGACGTCTCAAAACTAAATGGTTTAAGAGCAGCGTGGGAGGTTGTACAACAAAGAAAGTTTTGAGACGTCTCAAAACTAAATGGTTTAAGAACAGCGTGGGAGGTTGTACAACAAAGAAAGTTTTGAGACGTCTCAAAACTAAATGGTTTAAGAACAGCGTGGGAGGTTGTACAACAGAGAAAGTTTTGAGACGTCTCAAAACTAAATGGTTTAAGAGCAGCGTGGGAGGTTGTACAACAAAGAAAGTTTTGAGACGTCTCAAAACTAAATGGTTTAAGAACAGCGTGGGAGGTTGTACAACAAAGAAAGTTTTGAGACGTCTCAAAACTAAATGGTTTAAGAACAGCGTGGGAGGTTGTATTACAAAGAAAGTTTTGAGACGTCTCAAAACTAAATGGTTTAAGAACAGCGTGGGAGGTTGTACAACAAAGAAAGTTTTGAGACGTCTCAAAACTAAATGGTTTAAGAACAGCGTGGGAGGTTGTACAACAAAGGAAGTTTTGAGACGTCTCAAAACTAAATGGTTTAAGAACAGCGTGGGAGGTTGTACAACAAAGAAAGTTTTGAGACGTCTCAAAACTAAATGGTTTAAGAACAGCGTGGGAGGTTGTACAACAGAGAAAGTTTTGAGACGTCTCAAAACTAAATGGTTTAAGAACAGCGTGGGAGGTTGTACAACAAAGAAAGGCAGTCGCTCAACAGAAAGCGAAGCTTGAGAGTTTTCATGGTCCTCCATTCGTGGCTTGGGAGAGTTGCAGGGAAAGTGTGACTCAGGCCAAAATGGAAACCAGCCCAGCAGGGCATACCCTAGTTGCCCAGCAGCATCTGGTGGTTTTTTCAACACCACCTCCTGGTGCAAGTCCTTGTACGCGATTTTTCATGCACACGCGATTTTTCACGCACGCACGCACGCACGCACGCACGCACGCACGCACACACACACACACACACACAAAAGCACGTACCTCCTCCTGCCGCATGCCTTTGCTGCCTGACGGCTGGGGCGTGTTAGGCATGGCTGGATGTGTCTGCTGCGGTGCTGCATTCGAGAAATGTGTTATGCTCCACAGCAGACTCTTCATAGCTGGTGAGGAAACGTGGCACGTGGATGAAAAACGGCGGGGGTTATGCTGAGCACGGCGATGCGGGAATGAAACAAAGAAACGATGTTTTCAAGGGGAACGATGTTTTTTCATGGCACAAAGAACAGACAGAGCCCAAGGAGCACAATTCAAAGGATCGAGGTCACAGATGCTGCATCAGGTGAGGCAAGTTCAGTGAAGTGGCTGGGCTGGGCTGGGGTGGGCCTTACAGATGATGAGTGTGCGAATAAGCTGCTTAAAGTCTGCCACTTCCTTGGCATGGTCCATTGCCACATGCCCCGCCAATGCGCTCTGCCACACACCACCGCACACCACCGCACACCATCGCACACCACCGTCGCACAGTGGTTTGAAAAGAGCAGGCAGCACCAGAGCCGGACAAGGTGGGCAGAAGACGAGCAGAAACAGATTGAGGATAGAGGGCAGGTGGGTGGGTAACTATGGGTTGATGCATAGTCGTAGCGAGCAATGGCCGTGGGCCATGGGGCATGGAGCATGGGGCATGGGGCATGGGACATGGGGCATGGGGCATGGGGCATGGGCCATGGGGCATGGGGCATGGGGCATGGGGCATGGAGCATGGGGCATGGGGCATGGGACATGGGGCATGGGACATGGGGCATGGGGCATGGGGCATGGGGCATGGGTCATGGGCCATGGGGCATGGGGCATGGGGCATGGGGCATGGGGCATGGAGCATGGGGCATGGGGCATGGAGCATGGGGCATGGGGCATGGAGCATGGGGCATCGCAGACACAAGGAGAAACACATGCTGTTGTGCAAAGCAGCGCTGTGCGCACACGCTAAGGCACACGGACCTTCACTAGCAGCCTTTGATACGTCTAGAAGATCAACATTGCACGCGCATGCACGCACCCATGCACATACGCACACACACAAACAGACCTGCACTGGCAGTTCAAGGCGGGCTCTGAGGCTACGGCGCTCTTCTGGTGCTGCATCCGGTGGCCCCCCCTCTTCCATCAACTGCTGCCATGCAAAATCACACACTCGGACCCACACACACACACGCACACGCACATGCACACACACTCAAACAAACACACACACACACACACACACACACACACACACACACACACACACACACACACACACAGGGACATGAGAGCCTCAGCAACGCAGCAGAGTAGTGTGAAAAAGGCAAGAAGAGAGGCGTGTGTGTGCGTGGTGGGCGTGCGTGTGTATGCGCAAACATGCAAATATGGGAGCGCGTGCGATTGCGAGTGAGTGCGTGTGCGAGTGTGTGTGAGAGTGCGAGCGTGAGCGCGGGTGCAAGCTCACCGACTCAACGCTCTCCTTGAGAGTGCCGAAGCGGCCCACAAACGCATCCAGAATGCGATCCTGCCACAAGCAATGATAATGAGAGGGGAGGGGGGCGGGGGGGCAGTGGCACAGAGGACAACGGGCGGGTGGAGAGAGACAATTTGCATGCGGGAGTGGACCCGTGGTGCATGATGCGTGTTACGTTACAGATGTAGTGCTGCGGTAACGACGGACGCTCCCATCCCATGTCAAAGTGCAGAAAGAGATAGGTGAAAGAGGAATCGGCGGAACGCTATGACGAGAGGCGAGGAGAAAGAGAGCAGGAGGAGAGGCAAGGGGGAGAGGACCGGGAGGGGGGCACTGACCAGCAGCACGCGGCCATCCTCGTGGGCAAGGCGACGTTTGAAGATGGTTTCCACCTGGTCAACGCAAGCAGGGTCACACACACACAGGGGCAGCGCGGCATGAAGAGCAGAGCAGGGCAATGGCATGCGGAGCAAAGCAGCACAGTGGAATGCGAAGCAGGCCATTGATGGGAAGTCTGCTCAAGTTTGAGAAACCGGAGAGTGCCGAGGCAATGAACGTTCGAGAAAGTCCAAGGCACGGTGGGGTGTGGTGTGGTGTGGTGTGGTGTGGTGGCGATGAATGGATGGCACCAAAGTAAGTGTAAAGTGCAGGCAGGGCACACGCACCAAGTTGAGCATGAGGCGAACACATGTTGTCTGCACCGACAGATGCAGCGATGCATCGTGCACGTTGCGCGAAAACAGGTACACAATGCGTGACAACTGCAACATAGAGCAAGAAGGGGGGGGGGGGGAGGGGGAGGGGGAGAAGGGGGAGCGGGGGAGAAGGGGAGAGGGGGGGGAGAGGAGGGCAGAGCAGAGGAAAACGGTAAGTGAGGTGGAGCGAGAAGCAGATCACAATAACGCCCGATTGGGAATCCAGAGGTACACATCAGCCGCACTCAACAACGTCTTTACGGAAACCAGCATCACAAGGAAGGACATTGCAAATCCACGGGGTGCAGTGCGGTGCGATGCGATGGAGGAGAAAAGAGAAGGCATGCGTCTTGCCTGGATGAGGGAGAGCTCGTCCCTGAGATGGTGAATGAGCTCAGCAAGCAGAGAGTAGGCGAGGGGACGCAGCGTGTCATAGCACGCCCTGCCGGTGCCCACAAGGACTCTTTAAGCGGGGGCAGGCAGGGAAGAAGGGGGACGATGCAAGACGCGGTGTAAACAGCCAGAGGCACTACGGTAGGCAGGTGGCAGGGAGATGCGTGCTGTTAGTAGGGGTTGTTGGCATAAAAGTTGGTGGTGGTGGTTCAGGCCACATTGTGGCGGACACAAGCCACAGAAACTAGTGTTTACAGGACCTCATAGAAGAAAGCACGGAGCGCATCGACGTGGACCGTGCGGGCGAGGTGGGTGGGAGAGAGCATGGGGGGGAAACGGGGAGAAAATCAGCACAGAGCAGGACAGCGGGCGGCACAGAGCAGGTCAGCGGGCGGCACAGAGCAGGTCAGCGGGCGGCACAGAGCAGGTCAGCGGGCGGCACAGAGCAGCACATAGCAGCAAAGAGCAGAGCAGCAGAGAGAGCAGCACCTCTCGTCGAGCAGAGTGTCAAGCTGCGGGAAGAAGCCTCTCTTGAAGTCCGTGGCCAGCACATGGCGCGTTGCCACTAGCAACTCCTGTGCGCGCGCACGGCAAGGAGCGAGGAGCGCAGGCGGGGAGAGTAGAGGGAAGGACGAGGAGAGTGGGGCAGAATGAGGGATGGGAGAGAGGAGAGGTTGTGGTAAGGAGGAAGGGGCATCAGCATGCAGTGGAGAGGCGAGGAAGAGCCACACGGACTCAACACAAGCATGTGGAGGGCCATCAGGAGGTGGGGTGGTCAGGTAGTGCGCGGCAGTGGGCAGGCAGGCAGGCAGGCGGGCGGGCGGGCGGGCAGGCGGGCAGACAGACAGGCAGGCAGGCAGGCATGAAGGCAGGCAGGGAGCGCGGACGGGAGAGAGGCAGGGTGGGAGGGCGCACCTTGCGAGTGGCAACGACGTCGGGGCATGTGAGGAGGAGGTTGACGATGCTCTTGGCGATATTTGCCTCGTGCGGGCGGATTATGTCCGCATAGCCCCTCAGCAGATACGTCAGAAACGACACCGTCTGAAGGGAGGGAGGGGGAGGGGAGCAGCATGGGCGAGCGATGGGGGAGGGAGGGAGAGAAGAGAGGGGGCGACAGGAACAAATGAGGTGCGTGGTGGGGGACAGAGCAGAGCATGAGATTGTGCCAAGCAGGAATAGATGCGTGAGTTGAGTGCATGATGAAACAACAACAGAATTCGCCGCTCTTGTTAGGGCATGTGTGGAGAACAACAAAACAGCGCCAAACCGTAACGCAGGCAATCAACTAAGGGAAAGCATGATAACTCTCCCAGCCAAATGCACACGGCAGGCCATGACACGCCGCGCTACGCCACACCACCCCCAGCACGCACCTTGATCTGAGCTGCCTTGAGGTCAGCGTATGCAGCTTTGAGGCGCGGCGGCACGTGGTGGTGCGGCGAGGGCCCCACAATGGCAATGCACTGCATCATGAGCGGCAGCAGCACGGAGATGCTGTGCCCCGCGTACCGCGGGTACACCTGGAACAGAAACATCACAATCAGCGGACACTCCGTCACCACTCGGAATGACCGAGTGGACGGATTCAGCTGACTCGGCACCGCCACCCCAGCACCACCACCGCCAACCCCTCCCGGCCCTCCCCCCAGCCCCCCTGCCCCAGCGCCAGAGCCGGCGGCTCCCCCTGCCGCGCCGTCCCCCATCCCTGCTGCACGGCGCATCTGCTCCCCGCCGCCGCCCTCGTCGAAAAAGAAGCTGACGGTGGCGGGGAAGGACTGGTAGATCTTGCAGACGAAGTCGAGGAACGGCTGCACGTCGTGCTCGAGCTTGGGGCGGAAGTTCTTGTGCAGGTCGAATATGATGCGCAGGGCCACCATGGCGTTGTCCTCGTTGTCCGTGGCTAGGACTGTTAGGGCCACGCGCAGGAGCTCTGGCACGTACGGCTGTAGGGCCTCGCTGTGTGGCAAGCGGTTGAGGACCTCGAGCACCACGTTGCGGAACTTGTGCTCGAGATTGTCCACGAACTGCGCGTGTGAGGGAGCGGGGGCGCGGGGGGACGGGGAAGCGGGGAGGGGGGGCAAAGGGAGGGGGAAGAGTGGGCGGACGGAAAGGAAAGAGGGGAAGGGGGGAGGGGAAGAGAGAGGGAGCAACAGAGAAGTGGAGGAAAAAACGAGCTGGAATGACGATTGGATGGAGAAACAGACGACATTGACACAATAATCCCTGAGCACAGAGCGCAGAGCGGGGAGCGGGGAGCGGGGAGCGGGGAGCGCAGAGCGGGGAGCGGGAAGCGCAGAGCGGGGAGCGGGGAGCGGGGAGCGCAGAGCGGTACCTGAGGCGCGGTGAGCTGGCGGAGGACGGCGACGAAGACCTGGAAGTACGCGCGCAGGAAGTTGCCGTACTCCGCCGTGTGCGCAATCTCTATGCTGTCGCGCACCTCCGTCGCCAGCTGCAGGCGCTGCAGCGGCGCTGTTATGCCAATGAGTTCAACACCAACGGCCGGATGCGCGCAAAATTAGTGTAAGATGAGCACCGGGGGGAGCAGAGGGGTATTAGGGTGAAAATGGGAGACGGAGAGCGCTAGGGACAAGCTCGCTAGGGCTTTGCACGACACACTGTCGGAACCGAGACTTGACGAGAAAAACGGAGGAAACTGGAACAAGTTGAGGTCGAGCACTGAAAGCACGGATTCTACTTTCCTAAACAGCGACGACCAAAACGTTGAAATTGAATAAAACGGCGAACGAGAGGGTCTAACTCTAACGAACAGTGCAGCGCCGCAACGCCGTGCCGACATATAACGGTTTTCACGCGATCTACTGCATACGACGTGACGTACTCTGATCTGGATCAAGAAACCGCCTCGCATGTTGATCAAAGTCGGAAATGGGAATCATTGTCGCAGCTCTTGCTTCCCGTTCCCCCTGTCGCCAACCAGGCTACCAACACCAAATCATCGAAACTAAACGCTCCGTCAAAATCGCATTCAACGACCGAGGAAATATACGAATAGGTCTATCGACGATCGAGCATCGCGAAGATGCGGAGCAACAAAACCTGGACAGCCCAGGACAGCAGAACGATGACGACGAGTGAAATGAGATGGGGAGAAGGAGCACGCAAGGCGAGGCTCAAGTGACGAATGAAGAAATGGTTTCGTGACGAGGAAGTGAGGCGAGAGGGTTCACCGCTCAACTCAACCCTACCTCGCCTCGCCTTGGTGCTATCAATATGTAACGCGAAATAACATGTGAAATTTCTGTTATGGTAGCTCCTATTTTCAGTGTTTTTTTTTTTTTTTTTTTTTTTTTTTTTGGCTTGTCCGGCTTCGCCTGAACCCCTGAGGACTTCATGCTCTCCGACATCAAATGGCCATAAATTGCCTGATGGCAACTGGATGGGCTTTTTTAATGTCAATCGTCTCAGAAAGTGAATGCATCGGAATAGTGTGACTAGGAAAGCAAGGCAGTACAAATAGGAAACCCTAACTGAGTTGTACTCACTAAGGAGCACCTCACTACAGCCTATAACCAATAATAACATTTGACACACCCCCATAGGCTAAGTGAGGGCATCAAAGCAAGCAGGGTGAACAAACGGTCAAAAGACCAGTCAATACAAGAAGCAGAGCAAGCTCAGGGTGGATCTCAAGGACACCACACAAATTCCGAGCACAAACAAGCGGCCACAAGGCCAGTTCAAGAGAGCACAATATATATAAAGGCATGACAAGCAGAAGAAGCAAAAAGAGCAACACTACAGCAACTGTGGGCCTACCTCAACAAGCCCTAGCTGCACACAGAACCTGTGGTGGTCACCAGGCACCAAGGCGTTGGCGAAGACGTCGGCAGTGTTGGCCTCTGAGGCCACAAAGTCCAAGCGTGCCTGGCCGCGTCGCTGTAGTTCTCGCAGGAGGAAGTACCTCACGTCAATATGCTTCACTCTGCTCTCCAGTCGAGGCTCTCGACACAGGAGGATCATGGCATTGTTGTCGGCGTACTAGGTCGGCGCAGAGCGAGGCCGCTCACCAAGGTCGGTGAGCAAGAAGGTCAACCAGCGAAGCTCATGTGCCGCCATGGCACCAGCGTAGATCTATGCCTCTGCCCTTGACGAAGCCACAGATGACGACCGCGTAGACCTCCACGACACAGCACCAGCGCCCAGACTGAAGCAGTAACCCCGAGTCGAACGCTAAGTCTCCACGTCGTCAGCATAGGAAGAGTCGTAGTGACCGGTCAACACAACTGGCTGTGTCCCTCCAAGCACAAGCCCCATGCGTGATGTAGTCGCCAGATACTTCGCCACCCTCACAGCAGCTGTCCAGTGAACAGGGCGGTGTCTCCCAGTCGCAACAAAGCGAGAGAGGACGCTGAGGGGAAAGGCGAGGTCCAGCCGAGTACAAGTCATAAGGTACATGAGGCAGCCCACGAGCTTTGCGTAGTGACCACTAGATCCAAAGGGCTCGTCGGGAAAAGGGCCAGTGAGTCGGTGGTCAACGGCAAGAGGAGTGGGCTGTGTGGTGGAGAATTGAAACCCGAACCGCCGAAGGACCTGCTGCACCAAGTGTGACTGAGTCAGTGTGATGGTGCGAGCGGCTCTGTCCCTGGTGATCTGCAGGCCAATGTAGCGCTGCAGTTCACCGAGGTCAGTGCACGTGTGCCTCTTCTGCAGTTCAGACTTCAAATCAGCCAGAGCTGCCCTGTCTGCTGTAACAAAGACAAAGTCGTCGACGTAAACTAGTATAAAGAAAGGAGTGGAACCAGCGCGAATAAACAACGACGGGTCGGCAAAGGAAGGACGAAACCCAAGGTCACGAAGCGTGGAGCGAAGAGTGTCGTGCCACTCACGGGGCGACTGGCGGAGACCGTAGACTGGCCGCTTCAGGCTCTACTAAGTCCCATGTGGGAAGGTGTCAGTAAAGCCAGGAGGACGTCGCAGCCAGATCTCCTCGTGTAGTCGGCCCTGGAGAAACGCAGTGGAGAAGTCGAGGGAGTGCAGCTCGTAGTCTCGATGTGCTGCTACGTGCAGTAACACCCGAAGAGTAGTCATCTTCGGGGTCGGGGCGAAGGTCTGGAAGAAGTTAACTCCCTAACGGTGACTGGAACCCCTAGCCACGTAGCGCGCCTTGAACACAGGCGGTGAACCAGGCGGCCGCTTCACCTTGAAGAGCCACATGCCGTCGACAACGTTCGCCCTGGGAGGGGGAACTGCGTCAACGTAAGTGCATGTGGATCTCCAAGACGCTAACTCTGAGTCCATAGCCGCTTTCCACTGAGAGGCCCACTCCCCGGACACTGCCTCACGGTACTTGAGAGGTGTCGGTATAACAAGGGCGTCGGGGTCTCTCTCAAGGGAAAGCAGCATGGCGCAGAGAGAGGGGGAAGCGGCTGCTAAGAACTCCATCTCAAACTGCCTGTCCTCTAGGACGTCACAGCCAAGGGCAGACTCACCCCCGACGGACAGAGGACGGGGAGGTGGAGCAGCCACCACACGCGTGGCGTAGTCAAGACGGCGGGTGGAAGCAAAGTCAGCGACAGCGGCAGTAAGAGCCGAGACAGACGACGGAGAGGCACGAGGGTCGGTGACAAGAGTGGCGAGAACACGGGAGACAACAGGGCGAGCAGCACGGTAGTAGTCAGTGATGGGGTGAGAGGAGACGATGAGAGACGACTCAGGAGGTGAGGGGAGAACAGACACAGGCGGAGCACGACGAGGACTAGAACTAATCAAGAAAGTGCGGAGGTCGTCAAAAGGAGACGAGGGACGAGCACGTGGAGGACACCGAGTGGTCCAGTCGTGCGGGACAACAGGAGGAGACGACTGTGACTGAGGAGGAGAGAAAACAGCCGGGGCCGAGTCCGGAGGAGGAAACGTAGGGCCGTACGCGGTAGGAGACTGTGAGTGGACAGGAGGAGAGGAAGGAAGACCAAGGGCCCGAAGGCCACTCATTGGAGGAAACAGCTGCTGCAAAAGTGGCGGCTGCGGCTGCTGGGGCTGCTGCTGCCGTCGCTGCTGCTGCTGCTGCTGCTGTCAGTCCAATTGTTGCAGCTCCCGCCGCTCCTTCTCCAACCGCTCCTGCTCCTCGCGCTCAAGCCGGCGAAGAGCCTGGAGACGTGTGTCGTGGCGGTGGGGAGGCGCAGTGGGCGCCGCAGTAGTCGTGCCTCCAGCTCCTGTCTCCTCAGTACTAGCTCCTACAGTGCCAGCACCTCCTGCTCTAGCACCCCCAGAACTAACACCACCCGCGCCAGTACCTCCAGCTCCAGCACCCACAGAACTAGCACCTCCAGTGCCAGGACCTCCAGCTCCAGCACCCCCAGAACTAGTGCCAGCAGCGCCAGCACCTCCAGCTCCAGCACCCCCCGAACTAGCACCTCCAGTGCCAGCACCTCCAGCTCCAACACCTCCTGAGTCCACAGTAACCTATCGCGGAAGTGCCGAAGGCTGCTGAGGGGACTGTGAGGAGGACTGCGGGGAGGGAGACGCTACCTGACGCGCGACCGAGGGTAGAGGGGTAGCGTGAGACACACCTGACAGGGCAGGTACAGGGGGGGGCGGGGGTACCGGAGGAGCGGGAGCAGGGGGAGGAGAGGGTGCGAGGAAGAAGGGGGGAGGGGGAACCGGGAGACCTCGACAGAATACCGGGTGTAGTTGGACACTGACTCGTCAAACCGGACGTCACGAGAGTCTAGAAACTGGTGGAGGGGCGGGTGGTAAAAGGAGTAGCCGGGAGAGCCCACCGGGAAACCAAGGAAGACACAGGGGATGGCGCGAGCCGAGAGCTTGTCCGCAGAGGTGTCTCGGACAAGCGCAAGGCAGCCCCAGACACGAAAGACCGACCCAACACCAGGGGACCCGGTCCACAGACGGGTCGGTGAAGCCTCTGGCCGCGAGACACGCGGCTGGAGGTTCAGCTGGTGCGCGGCGTAGCGCAGCGCGTAGGGCCACAGAAAATGGGGCGCACGTGCATGGATCATGGACGTGCGGGCGATGTACATGACCAAGCCAATGCGGCGCTCAGAAACTCCATTCTGCTGTGGGGACTTTGGCAGAGTCCAGGACTGTCTGATGCCCTGCTCGCCGCAGAACCCGGCAATGACGCCGGAGCGAAACTCACCCCCACGGTCGGAGTGGAGACAACGGACACGACTACCACGAGTGCCCTCAGTGGTCAGAAGCCACCGGATCAGCGTAGAAGTCACCTCGGACTTCTTCGCGAGCTGATACACCGTGGTGTACCTGGAGTAGTCGTCAACGACCACTAGAAAGTAGCACTCCCTCTTAGGTCCCAGCGTAGGGGCAGGGCCCCAGACGTCCAAGTGGAGAGTCTGGAAGGGAGAAGTGGTCGGAGGAAGGGAGGAGGAGTGCGGAGTGGCACGCAGGCGGCCGGCGACGCAAGGAGTGCAAGGTGGAGCAAGCGAGGGAGGGAGCGACAGAAAGACGCGCGGGAGACCTGAGACAAGACTGTGACT